GCAATATTTGTCTTTTTGTGACTGAGATATTTCCCTCAGCATAATGTCCTCCAGGGTCACCCAATTTGTATACTATTTCATGAGTTCCTTGTTTTTCAATGCTGCATAGTATTCCATTATGTGAATATACCACAGCTTCTCTATCCATTCATTTGTTGGTGGACACTTGGGTTGTTTCCAACTCTTTGCTATTGTGAACAAAGCTGCAATAAACATGGGTGAGCATATATCTGCTTGGATGGCAGTTATGATCTCTTTAGGGTATAGTCCCAGTACTGGAATTGCTGGGTCAACTGGTATTTCTATTTGCAACTTTTTGAGAAAGTGCCATACTGCTTTCCACAGTGGTTGCACCATTTTACACTCCCACCAACAGTGAATAAGGGTTCCAGTTTCTCCACAACCTCACCAGCATTTGTTGTTTGCTGCTCTGTTAAATTTTGCTATTCTGACTAGGGTGAGATGGTATCTCAAAGTTGTTTACATTCATGGTCTTTAACTGCATTTCAAATGAGTCCATGAAAGACGCTGGAACTGTTGGTCAACTGGACTTTTAAGCAGCTGAGTCACCCAAACACACTCATGTCTTATCTGTACCATCTGACCTTACAAAGCCACTTGAAGTGTCTACTGAGAGAAGGATGGTGTAGAAGGGTCACAGTCAAGGAAAAGGAGACAAGGACAGAGGCAGAGGTCACAGTGACATCTGCTGGAAGAGGGCCTTGTGTCCATCAATGTGGGGAGCTCTAGAAGCTGGACAGGCAAGGCAAGGAACTCTCCTTTCGAGCCTCCAGAAGGAGCAAAGCCCTGTCACTTCACCTTAGATCTTGGAATTCCAGAATAATAAACAATAAACACGTGCTGCTTTCAGTCAGTAGGTTTACAGTGATTTGCTACAGCAGCAAGAAGAAACTAAAGCCCACTGTGGTGCCACAAGTGGGGTGCTGCTCTAACAAATACCTGAAGATCTAGGTCTTTGGGACCAGAGGGCAGATTGTAGTAGTTCAAATAATGGTCCTTCTAAAGATATATACTGCTGAAGACCCAAATGTCCAACCACAGTCAAATGGATTGAAAAATTATGGTACATTCACACAACAGAATACTATGCAGCATGCTGGAGCAAAGATTTTGAAAATTACTACCTAACTTGGGAGAGTCTGGAGAGCACTATATTGAGTGAACTAACTCAGTCCTCTAATGACAAATACTGTAATGACAAAATCACTGTAGAACTAGAAAGTAAATCGTGTATGAGGATTCAAGGTGGAGGGTAGGAGCAGAGGGGTGAGGATAGGCAGGCGAGGGTAATCATGGGGTCGTACAATTTGATGAGTAGAGGGAGGAGTGGGTAAAGGAAACGGGAAACTTATTAACTCAACCGGATTAAAATAAAAATTTGATTTAAAAAATGAGAAAAAGATATTGCTGAAAAGAATCCAAACATGGCAAGAACAAAACATTAACAGAGAACTGCCAGAGGTTCAAGGTGGGGTTAGAAGAGGTCATAGCACTAGTGGTATCACTGCTGATGTTAGATGGATCCTGGTTTGTTTCGCAGAATACCAGAGAATGTCTGTCTGTGCTTTACTGACTATGCAAAGGCATTTGACTGTGTGGATCATAACAAACTTTGGCTGACAATGAGAAGAATGGGAATCATTCCAGAACACTTAATTATGCTCATAAAAAAACTATCTAGATTAAGAAGCTGTTGTCTGAACAGAACAAAAGAACACTGCACGATTTAAAATCAGGAAAAGGGTTTGCCATGGTTATATCCTTTCTCATACCTAGTCAACCTGTATGCTGAACAAATCCTTCAAGAAGCTGAACTCAATGAAGAAGAATGTGGCATCAGGATTGAAAGGAGGCTCATCAACAACTATACTATGCACATGACACAGCCTTGCTGGCCTAAAGTGAAGAGAAGTTAAAACACTTGCTGTAGAAGCTCAAGGACTATAGCCTTCAATATGGATTGCATTTCAACATCAAGAAAACAAAAATTCTTACCACTGGACCAGCAGAAAAGACTCAAATTGTCATCTTGAGCCACAATCAACACCCTCGGTGTTAGCAGTCAGGTCAAAAGACGAATTACCCTGGGCAAGTCCACTGTCAAGGACCTCTCCAAATGACCGAGCAGCAGTACGGTACGCCTAATTCAGGTGATGACCTTTTCAATCACTTGCTGTGTGCTTCAAATTTGGACAATGACTAAACATGACAGAACTAATATTACTGATCTGTGCTGTTAGGGAAGAACAAAGACTATTAAAATAATAAATATGTCCTAGAAAGAGTACAGCCAGAGTGCTCCTAGGAGGCATGGAGGGTGAAGCTGTAACTTATGTTTCCAAGGAGAAGCTATTCCCTAGAAATGACATCATGCTGGAAAAGGTGAAGGGTCAACGAAGGAGAGAAACTCTCCAGGAGAAGGACTGAGACAGTGACAGCAGCGATGGATTCAAGTGTGTTGGAGGCGGTGCACTGGACAGGATTCAGATCTGTTGTTCACAGGGTGGCTATGAGTCGGACTCAACTCAACAGCATCTAACAACAGAGATACATAAGCCCTAATCTCCAGAATCTGTGAGCACGTTACTTTATATGGCAAAGAAACCTTTCAGATGTGGTTAAGAAACGTGAAATGAGGGGAGTGGTAATCCTAATAAAATCACCAAAGTGCTAGCTTTAAAGATGGAGGATGGGACCAAGAAAGCAGACAACCTTCAGAGGTTAGAAAAGGCAGGAGACGGCTTCCGTTCCAGAAGTAAACAGCACTGGCAGTACTCAGTTACCTTGTCTGGCGAGATCAACTTCTAATCTCTAGAAGGGTAATGAGAACAAATTTCTGCTGGTTTTTTTTTTTTCTATAATTATATTTTATTAATTTTCATAAACATTTACAGAGATTTTGGGTTTCCATTCATTCATTGTTGCACTATAAATTTCTGCTGTTTTAAGCATTGAGTTTGTGATAATTTGTTCCAGTAGCAAAAGAAACCTTAAACAGTTTCCTAGTTTCTTTCCTCTCAAGGTAAATCAGACTCAAGGAAAGATACTCACTAGCAAAGAAGAATGACGCTGACTGGAAAGGACTGAAATCCAAACACCTGTGTGAAGGTCTAGCACTAACGGACCATGCAGAGAGCCAGGGTCAGTGTGCACAAAGCAAGGGTCTTCGCCTCCCTCCCCAAGTCTAGGTGATCAGAAAGCCCCCGCTCCTTCTCAATTCTTCCTGCACAGGATGGTGGAGAAGTCAGACACACACTCTCTTTTAAGAGTGTCATTCCATGGAAGTGAAAATTTCACGAAATTCTAATTTCTGTATCCACAGATGTTGCCAGGTGCTGTCAGGAAGTGTATCAGAAGTGTGAGGAAGGCAGAGGACAGAAGAGGGTTCAGATCTTTTGTCCATAGGGTCACCCTGAGTTGTATTTGACTAGCCAGCACCTAACAACAACAACAATGCACACACAGTTTTACGAGAACCCAGCTGTACTCATTCACTCACGTGCTGTCCATGCTGCTGCAACACAGCAAGACTTGGAAAATGTTAAGAAACACACGGCCCACAGAGCCTAAAACAGAGCCTGTCTGACCCTCCACAGAAAACGAGCAGCGCAATCCACCTCAGGGGTTGGATCACATGCAGGGCCGACTACTCTGAACTGAGTATTTCCTATGAGGTCCCATGACTCAAATCCTTTACTCTGATTTATTTCACACCACCCCTTGTATCTTTGGGAGAAACACCCAAAGTGACAATGTGCAGACAGAGGATGTGAAATGATCTGTCTTAATGGCATCTTACCTATTAATTAACTTTTTAATAATTTAAAGGAAAATCCTAGTAAAATGCACCTTACTTGCACTCTGTATCTGGACGGAGGTGGAAACACCAGTAGTACTTCAAAGGCCGGCCACCAGCTGTGCAGGTAGAGACTGTGCTGTGTTTCTGACTAGGGGTGGTTGGCGCCATCAAACTGCCCACACCTCACAGCCGTCCTACGAACAGGTGAGAACCTAACACGCTCTGCCACGTCCCAGGACTGCTGTGGTCACCATGTCAGTCCATCTCAGTTGAAGGTCTTCCTCTCTCTCGCTAATCGTTTGTTTTTCCCAGCATGCAGTCTTCTTTCAAGGATTGGCATCTCTTGACAGTATACCCAAACTATGCGAGACAAAGTTTCACCATCACTCACTCCAAAGAATATCTTGGTTGCACTTTTTCCTCTAAATTTGCTCTTTGCAAATGCCACTACATAATCATGTTCT